ACCAAGCTGTAAGTAGAGCTAAAAATTTTGGTGTGCAGAATTGCTTTGCCCAATTGTGTGGCCTTAACACATAAACACGGCTCATGCATCCATACAAATAGTTTGCGTTTGTACTGTGAAGACATTCTGTCCTGCACATCCTCAAGATCACAACTCAACTTTATAGCAGTGAACTGAGGGCTCTCGGTCACCTCATCAACGTGGGAAGTAACAGGCACATATGTGAGCCATCTCCAATTAACCTGAAGATAATGCTTCACTGGTTAAAATGAAATGCCATGAAGGGCCGGCCGCGTGGCTCAGTTGGTTAAGAGTTTGCTTAAGAGCACAAGCTCTGAGCAACAGGGTCGCTGGTTCAATTCCCACATGGGCCAGTGAGCTTCGCCTGAGCTGAGCTGCCACTGAGCTGCCAACAGGTGGCAGGATGGCTCAGCTGGTGAGAGCACGTGCTCCTAACAAGACTGCCTGTTTGATGGTGGGCTACGCCCGCCCGCAACTAAGACTGACTGAACTCGGCATCTAGAGCTGAGCTGCCACCCGGATGGCTCAGTGGATAGAGCGTGCGCTCTTAACAACAAGGCTGCCGGTTAGACTCCCGCATGAAAAAAAAAAAGCCGCTGTGATTATGTGTCTGTGATGCCAAAGAGCTGGGCTACCTTCAGGCAGAACGATTTCCATGTATCCATGCCCATCAGGCACTTTTACTAAAATTAAGTAAGTCCCTAGAAATATTTACAACTAAAGATGAGATTGATTTTGTAGAAAATTATAAATATTTTTAAATTAAGTTCCCAAATCACTGATTTCATAGTAAATACATTTTTAAAAAAACATCATTTCTATCATATGTTTTAGTCAAATAAAAACAGAAGTGAGAAGACTGTGTGTCATTGGCAAAAGACTAGACACATTAGCCAATGGAACAGAACAGAGAGTCCAGAAACAGACCCCCATATATATAGTCAGCTGATATTTGACAAAGGAGCAAAAATGACACAAAGAAGATAAGTTTTCAACAAATGGTGCTGGCACAACTGAACAGTCACATGCAAAAATGAACATAGACACAGATTTTATACCCTTCACAAAAATTATTTCAAAATGGATCATAAACCTAATATAAAGCATAAAACTCCTAGAAGATAACATAGGAGAAAAACCCTAGACCTTGGGTTTTGGGGATAACTTTTTAGATACACCATCAAGGTCATGTTCCTTGAAAGAAAGAATTATTAAGTTTTACTCCATTAAAATGAAAAGCTTGTGCTCTGCAAATAACACTGTCAAGAGAATGAGAAGACAAGTCACAGACTAAGGAAGATATTTGCAAAAGACATATCTCATGAAAACCTGTTATCCAAAATACACAAAGAACTTTTAAAACCTAACAATAACAAAACAAACAAGCTGATTAAAAATGGGCAAAAGCCCTGGATAGACACATGGGGAAATGAGGTAGGTAGTCACCTGGCTAATAAAGATGGCAAATAAGCACATGATAAGATGTTCCACGTCATATGTCAGGCAGTTGCGATTTAAAACAGCAAGGAGACACCAGTACTGACCTAACAGAATGGCCAGAATCTGGAACACTGACAACATCAAATGCCAGTGAGGATGTAAAGCAACAGGACTCTCACTCACTGCTGGTGCGAATGCAAAATGGTGCAGCCACTTTGGAGGACAGTTTGGCGGTTTCTCACAAAACTTAAATCCTCTTATCACACTTTCCAGAAATTGCATTCCTTGGTACTTACCCCAAATAAACTGAAAACTTACATCCATACAAAAACCTACACATATATGTTCACAGCATCTTTATTCATAATTACCCAAACTTGGAAGCAAGCAAGATGTCCTTCAGTAGGTGATGAATAAATAAACTGTGGTCCATTCACACACTGTTCATTGCCACAAAGAAATGAGCTATGAAGCCATGAAAAGACATGGAGGAACATTAAAATCATGTGACTAAGTTAAAGAAACCAATCTGAACAGACTATATACTGTATGATTCCAACTTTATGACATTCTGGAAAAGGCAAAACTACGAGACAGTAAAGAGATCAGTGGTTGCCAGAGCTTGGGGGAAGGGAGGGATGAATAAGTGATTAACGAAGGATTTTTAGGGTAGTGAAAATACTCTATATGGTTATGAATAATGGATACCTATCGTTATAAATTTGTTCAAACTCATAGAAGCTACACCAAGAGTGAACCCTCACGTAAACTATGGACTTTGAGTGATGATGACGTGTCAGTGCATGTTCATCAGTTGCCTCAAATGTCCCATCTGGTGGGGGACTTGATATTGGGGAGGCTGTGCATGTGGGGGAGAAAGGGTGTATGAGAAATCCCTGTGCTTTCTCCTCAATTTTGCTGTGAATCTAAACTTGCTCTAAAAACTCAATCTATTAAAAAAGATATGAGACTAAAAGTACATTTATATAATTACCTTGTCATTTATAAAGTCTTTCTAAGATAGTATATACATTTCAAATGGCTTGTCCTTTAAAACACAGCATGTACTTGCCATTTTAAGCATAGCACCCAGAGAACTGAGACAATGTACTTATGCATGCTTTGCACCCAAGACCAATTAAGTCATAATTGCTGTGGGTCAGAACTGAACATTAATATTTTTTTAAAGCTCTCTAGGTGACTTTAATGTATAAGTAGAATGGAGAACCACTGGGAAAATGAAAAGAACAGAGGGTTTAGAGCTAGAAAAAGTTGAAATCAAGTCCCAGTTCTGCAAATTAGTAGCTTTTACTTCATTTGTAAGGTCATTTGTGACCTCCATTTTCAGGGTTATTATGAGATTTATAGATAAATGATTTGGAACACCTAGTAGACACTGTAAAATGACAGGCATTATTACTAATGACCTCTGAGCTCTTTTCCAAGTAAGCAGTGTCTCAAATGCCCAGGGCATTGCTCTTATTACAATCGACCCAAAACATACATGTGTTATTACCATCTGTGGGGTTACACTCTTATTTTGAGAGAATGATTTTAATTAGGATTGAATTTAAACATATACCGATGTTATCTTGTTATCCTAGATTATTGTACTATTACATAATTACAATAAACAGTACTTAAGTAAACAGAAAATAACTAAGAATTATGAATTATGAATGTTGCCTTAATGGTGCCTAGCAGTATCTCAGGAAATGTAATAATTATTAGCAAAAAAAAAAAAAAAAAGATGAAATTGACAGCAAGGGAAATAAAAACTATGGGGGGAAGTCATTTATTTTCCATAAACATTTACATATTCATATCTAAGTAGCTTAAATATTTTTAACATGGCCAAAATACCATATACAAAAGAGACTAATAAATTAATTTCACAATTAAAGTTGGTGTGGACTCATTTTGCTAATATTAGAAGAGTGGGAGTATCACTGTCTATGTACAATAGAAACACTATCTCGTCTTCAGTGTTACAAACCAGGTATAGATTATTTCCAATTGGAGGTTAGTTTTAATACGAGTACAGGTGCAGTGAAAATCTTGGCACAAACTGTGTGTGTGCGTGCATGTGTGTGTGTCAACTTGTGTTGTCTTTGGCTTTGCATTATGGACTTGATTATGATTTTTTAAGACGAGAGTTCTAGAACAGACCCAGATTTTGGACACTTGCAAGCACGTTATTATACACAGTGCGTCTTCACGTACCCTCGTGCATAGGTTCTCGGAAACCGTGACGTTGAGCCAAACCACAGATAAGGAAACCTATTTTACCACAGGCTCATTGACAGAACAAGAGTTGAACTCCTGCAGCCCATGTCTGCTCACAAAGACATCACCAAACGTCTAAATAAAGGCACAAGACACTTCTGATATTAAACTTTGAAATAAATGTGAGCTATACTTACATTTGGGAAAGATTAATAAAAGCAAGAAAGAGCATTATTTTCCAACCCGCTCATTCCAGTTAGGGTGGCAGGTGGCCGGAGCCTCTCTCTGCAGCTCAGGGCACAGGTGGGATCCACCTGGACAGGACGCCCTCCCATCGCAGGGCCACCCACACCCACACCCCACTCACTGAGACGGGCACAGTGTAGACACGCCATTCACCTCACGTGCACGTCTTTGGGACATGGGTGTAAACCAGAGTCCCCTGAGAAAACCCACAGATGTGGGGAGAACATGCACACTCACACAGACAGTGGCCCCAGCCGGGAACCAATTTTTTTTCATCAACATTATAATGAAACAATGTTGAAGAGAACTACGTTATTGGAAGACATGCTGCACTGCGAATAGCTTTCCAGAAAACTTAACCCTAGTTTATAAACTGTGAATGACATTTTTACAGAGTGTCAATGTGTTATGCCTATTAAGTGACATGCAAACACACCTGACACTGCCTTTGACCTCAAGGAACTTAAAATTAGATGGGAGAGGAAGAGGACAGTAGAGTTTGTTTTGTTAGAGTGCTATTGCCAGGTTAATGTCTCAATACTCTCGTGATGTCATCTCTCCAAAATGGTCAGGATTTGCTGGATAAGCCCCATGGTCTAGAGCAGCGGTTCTCAACCTTCCTGATGCCGCGACCCCTTAATACAGTTCCTCATGTGGTGGTGACCCCCAACCATAAACTTATTTTCATTGCTACTCTATAACTGTAATTTTGCTACTGTTATGAATCGTAATGTAAATATCTTTTTGTTTTCCAATGGTCTTAGGTGACCCCTGTGAAAGGGTCGTTCGACCCCCGAAAAGGGTCGCGACCCACAGGTTGAGAACCGCTGGTCTAGGGACTGATGCAGCCAACAGGATTCTGTCTGACCAACTTTTGAGCGTGCATGGTTCATTTTAATTGGCTGGAGCATTTTATATGGAGTAAATTGGTTCTAATATCGCCGTGCAAGAGACGGAGCCCTCACGCTGTGAAAGAGGGGCTGTGCGCTGTGGAATCCAGAGTTCTCACCGTGAGTCCAGTCCCTAATTAAATCTGCAAAGAAGGGAGAACGCATTTGAACACTTACGCTTACAGGTAGGAGGCTTGCCTCTGTGGCTCCATGATCCATCTTCCTGACACACTGCTGTGGCTTGTTGACTAGCTTCAAGCTTGAAGCCCTCATTACACTCATACATCACTTTACTATCCAAAGTGAACTCATTACCCGTAAATGAACCATTTCCTGGGGACTCTGGGACTCCACAGGACACAGCTGAAAAAAAGAAAGAAACGCAGGGTTATTCTTATGTGATTGTATGAAATGTTTTTTTTCTTCTTCTACTTTTCACTTCAAGTACATATAAAAACTGTTCAATACTTGAATTTCTAATATGATGCATAGGTATACACATTTTCAAAGTTTTAAAGATCTCTAGAGTTAATGAGAGACAATGGAAAACAGGTCAGCATAAAGTATCTTTATGATTATTATTCCAGAACTTAAGTCTGACGGCCCCCGTGACACAGCTTATCACACTGACATGTCTTATCAGATGGCCCTGGGCAAAAGAACACAGTGTAATGCACTCTACTTCATTTAATATTGGAAAGGAAGGAGAAAATAATATCTACACCATCACCAAAGTCATCACAGTGTCTCAGATGAAACAGTCACCCACCTTGGATCTCAGATATCCCCCCTCTTACTGACTGCCCTTCCCTCATCCCAGGAACTCATTTTCCTTAAAGCACCAGCAAGTTCTGTTAAAAGACAAATGGCTAAGGTCATCCACGCATCTATGATCATAACATCTGTTATTTATCAATAATCTGTCAGAGAGCAGGACCTAAGGGACCAAAACGCAGGAGGAATTTCTGGAACACACCGAGACGGGCAGGCTGGGTCCCAGCGGGCGAGGCATGCCAGCTTTTTGTGAAAGGTCAGGCAAGAACATGCTATGAATGAAGAAGAGAGCTTTCAAAACGTGGAAATGGGGGCAGAATTCAACGTAAACATGTCCTTCTTAAATTTACTACCTCTGATCCAGACTCATCTATGAGGAGGCGAAATTCTCAAGTTAAATGACTCCAAGTTACAAGAAGGAACAAAGAAAAAGTCATGGGAGGGTTCCATTCCCAGCAGTGCACACCCATGTCCACCGCACATGTCACAAACATTTGCAATAAGTAAATAAGTAATAAGTAAACTAAGGGCCTTTTGTTAATCAATATTTAAGGTATTATTCACATTGTGCATTTTTTATTTAGAGCTTTAAAGAATTTTCCCACATTGATTCCCATGGGAAGACACGTGTAATGTCAGAGCTGGTAAGACCAGATGTAAGGGTTTATATAACCATATACTTTTACAGATAAGGACAACTGAGGCTCAGAAAGATCACATGACCTGCCTCGGGCCCTGCAGTGACTTTGTGCAGAACCTGGTCACAGAAGTGGCCAATCTGTCACAAATGAAATTCTAATACTTCTGATCCAATGAAGAAGAGATGGAATAATTCACTGACTTGTAAATTTAGGCTTACAGGATAAAGGCTATTTCCCTCCAAACTCTGATATTTGTTCCTCTAGTCATATATACAGTTGAAGCATACCACAGTAAAAATTTGCAGTAGTTGTGGACTACAAACATAGACATAAATACATGATTTTGGATATAATATTTACAATAATACGCTCTGGATGTGCAAAGCCATTGCTTGTGGAGGCAGTGGATGGGGGTAGAGACTGCTAAGCTTTTGCAAAATGTTCCCCTGAATTTCCTGAAGGCAGTGGGTGTCCTTTACAACTGTGATCTCACAGGATCACCGGTATTGTATTTCCTCACCATTTTCTCTGAGATTTCACTCAAATAATCATTTGTAAATGCTTACACACCTCAATTTCTGTTTCACGCACTGAAGCGTGCCCAGTGTCCAGTGTCCTTGTAATTCTCGTGCAGGGTGAGCAATGAATGAAATGACATTTCTCCGGCAGGTAAAATGGGAAAGATGACATTCTATACACACGTAAGAAACCCACCTTAAAAGGATTCATACTCAGGAATCCGCCACAGAAGAGCTTTGTAACTACTTCTGTGAAACCTGGGCTTGAGAAGCCTCACTTTCTGTCATTTGATCAATGGCTAAGGGTCTTTTTCTGGCCTCGTGCTGTGGGTTTCGGCCCCTTGAGTGTCTTAACAATAGGGTATTTGGCAGATCTTAAAATGGAAGCTGTCGATCTATCAAAAATGAAATTCTAACACTTCTGATTCAATGAAGATAGATGGCATAATTCTTACAGATTACAAATTTAGTGTCAGGGATAAAGGCGATTTCCTGCTCATGTGGGGGCTCTGTTCACATATTCATTCATTCTAAATACTGTTTACGATTACTGTGTGACAGACATTCTATAAATCACTTTTTTAAAATGTCAATTAGCTATATATATGCAACTTGGAAAATCTGGAGAATGGCCTCAGTTTGGGTGGACCTAAAGGGAATACAATTTCTCAGTTTTAGTTTTGTTTTTGAACATTGTACTAATACAGCATTGGATTTCCTAGCAGCCTAGGTTAAAGACCACATACTCAACTCTCTAAAATTCTCTTCCATTCCAGAGCACAGGCTTTAAAATCAGACTTCTGAATTACTTCTTGTCACTGACATTTGCCAGCTGTGTGACTTAAGTTTCTTAATGAATGTTGTCTCATTACTCTGAGGTTAACTATACTCATCTCAGAAGTAATTGTGAGGAGTAACTGAGATGATGCGTACAAATCAGCCCTGTGCTGATACAGTGGAGGCACACAATAAGTGACAAAATATTACCATTATTATTTATACACACACTCACAATGTATATGTTTTTGGAAATAAAGATGTGAGTTGCACGGATCAATTCCTTGTCATGTATTTATTAAAGAGTGCAAAAATTAAATCTGTAGTAAACCAGATTATTACTATATATCTCATGAGAGATTTAATGTTCTGGTTTCACAAAAATCAGTACAGGAGACCCTCCAATGCTCAGGGCAGTGTGCTCGTTAATCCTATGACCTCCATGGGGTTCGTTCTTGGCATATTTAAGCCCATACAAACAGCAGTCATTCTTGTCGCTGCAGGTTTAAAAACACTTCTGTTACTTATTATTGGCGTATACACACGCAGCTGATTTCTGAATATTAATTTTGTATCCTGCTACTTTACTAAATTAATTTATCAGCTCTAATAGTTTTTTGGTGGAATCTTTGGGGTTCTCTCTACATAGCATCATCTCATCTTCAAATAGTGACAATTTTACTTCCTCCTTTCCAATTTAGATGCCTTTTCTTTTTCTTGTCTGATTGCTATGGCTAGAATTTCCAGAACTATGGTGAATAAAAGTGGTGAAAGTGGGCATTCTTGTTTGGTTCCTGATCTTAAGGGGAAGGCTTTTAGCTTTTCCCCATTGAGTATGATGGCATACATATATGGGGGTGTCAAAAAAGTGGATACAAGTGGACACTTTGGTCAACGTTGCTCAAGCAGTAGTTTGCCAAAATCAAGTGTCTGGACACTGATGGTAACCATTTTGAGCATCTCTTGTAATTTCAGAAGGCAAACGTGACTTGTATTCATCTTCTGTATTGGTATATATTGAGCACTACAATGCTAATAATTTTTCCTTTCTTAAAATGTGTGTAGTTTTTTTGGTCTCTTTCTATATATAGATATAGATATAAATATAGATATAGATATAGCTATAGACATAGATATAGATATTGGGTTGTCGGAAAAGTCAGATGCATGTTAGCAACAGATGGCACTAGTTCATTTTTGGAAGTACTAGAGTCATTCACATCTATGTTATTGCTATGCAATTTGACAGCTGACAGTTCTAGCTTTAGTCTAAAAAAAATGGAGTGATTTGGTTGTTTTGGAGATTTTACAAGTTGAAGATGGAAGACCAAACTGTGCATTTTTGTCATATTTCACTGCTTTATTTCCATAAAGGGAAGAACACACGTCAAGCTTGTGAAAAGTTGCATAAAGTTTACGGTGACAATGCTCTACAAGAACATCAGTGCCAACGATGGTTCACGAAATTCCGGGCTGATTTTGATCTCAACGACGCTCCTCGTTCAGGGAGGCCCACCGAGGTTGATGACGACAAAATAAAAGCATTGATCGAGTCAAACCCGCGTTACATGACACAAGAGATTGCAGAAACATTGAATATCCATCATTCGAGCATTCATGACCACCTGAAGAAGCTGGGATATGTAAGCAAGCTTGATATTTGGGTTCCACATGAACTCAAAGAAGTTCATTTGATGGTGCATATAAACATCTGCAATATGTTCATTAAACATGAGGA